ATTTCTAATATTGCTTTACTTAAAGAATTTAATTGGACCAGAGTGGGTACCATCTATCAAAATGAACCTCGCTATTCATTAGCTCATAACAGGTATTAGTTTTTTAATTATTTAATAAATAATTGCAAGCTTTAGTTTTTTAGTCAATACTTTTATTAATTCATTTATTAAAGACCTCTAATTAGGGACATTTCTTAATTCTTAGGGCATATACTGCTGAAGATAGCTTGCTGTGTACGTAAGGCGTAACTACCGCAGAGAAAGAGAACAAAACCAATATAACTGCTGTCCCACTTCCATACCCACGCGACTGGATTTTATTAGAATACCCCCCCACCCCTATTCAAACGTTTCACTGACTTTACGCTTTTTCTATCTCTTTCTTTGTTAGTCGCTTACTTCATACACAACAATAAATGGCACGTTACCTCCGATAGTATATGCTCTATCTTTTCAATTCCTTTTTTGCATACTTTTTTGGCTTTCTAGTAATTTAAGAAAACTTATGACAGGTTAGTGGCCGATTTGGATACTTTTGCGTATCAAGTAGTAGAAACTCAAAGTTTTACCAACGAAGTTACCAATGCTTTGATGAAACTAAAGGAAAAAGATACCAGGGTAATTTTAGGTAAGAAAATGCGTTAATAAGAAAAAAATGTTTTTATAAAGAAAACGTTGAAATTTGTTGTAAAAAAAAGAGTTAAAAATTATAAAAAAGACTTTAAAGGTAATTTCAACGAATACTGGGCAAGCAAGATTTTCTGCGAGGCCTACCGACTCGAAATGTTCGGTAGAAAATATCAATGGGTCATAATGGGCACTTATACGGAAGAGTGGTGGAAAAGTTTAGATCCGGAATCGAATTGTACCACCGAACAAATAGAAACTGCACTAGAACAAACAATTTTAACCGATTTACTACCGTTAAGTACCAGCGGGGAAATTACCATCTCTGGATTTGTATGTAAAAATTACATTCCTATTTTTTTGTTATTTTATACTATAATATTTATTATTGACGCAAGGAACCTCAAGAAAATTTAAGGGGGTACCAACAATTTTAAAAATTAATCTACCTAGTCAAAACATGTACCATTTCAAGAATTACTGCAAATTGTTGATCATTTTTTTGAATTCTAGACAGCAGACGAATACAAGGAAGAATACGATTCGCGTAGGGGAAACGAATTTTCAAGATTTCATGGTTACACATACGACGGCATTTGGGCAGTAGCCCTGGCAATACAGCATGTTGCACATAAAATCCGTTACATTCGAAGAAACTTGACAGTATTAGATTTTGAATATAGGAATGATTTATGGGAGAGCTTATTCCTAACCGCGCTGCAAAACACCAGTTTCGAGGGTAAGTAATGGCATTTTAAAACGTGTATTATACAGTTGCTATTTTTTTCTATTATTTTTAGGTGTAACAGGACCGGTACGTTTTTACGATAATGAAAGAAAGGCGAGCATTCTGCTAAAACAATTTCAAAACGGTTCCGAAGAAAAAGTGGGGGAATACAGTGCTGCCACCCAACATTTGGATCTAACATTAGGAAAACCACTCAAGTGGATAGGGAGGTAAAAATATTTATCGGAAAATAATTCATTATACCCATATTAATTTTAGGCGAACCACATAGGTAACTAGTTCATTTCTAATCTCCCACTGTGTACTCTATTAATCAATAATAATTAAAATCAGAACATAATTAAAATAAGAAAATCGACAAGTGTAGTGTTACAACAAAACAAAAAGTTACAACAATGTACAATAACAAACAATTGCAATATAAATGACTGCTTATATGTGGCAACATTGCGAACTACCAACAATTCATTAGATAACCGTGTGGAAATAGCATTACCAAACAGGGAGAGAAAACAAAGCCTGACTAAACGTTGTTTTACGATTAGTCACACTCTTCTATATGTACATATATGTATATGTATTGGTACAATTACTTAGTTATTATGACTTTGGTCTGGCCTTTCCCCGGCCGTTCATTTAATATGAAAACACCCCCTCCTAACATTTCAAGCTAAGCTCTTATCGTAAAATTTGTTTACAACGTTGTCGAGTTGTACATTTAGTTTCTAAAGACGCTCTTTTCGCACATATTACGTTTTCTCCAGTAGTATATGGTCCAAAGTTTGTTTGCAACGTTGCCAGATCGTTCATTTTATATGCAAATACGCTTTTATTTTCACCCATACACCTTATTCTTCTAAAAATTGGGAAAAACGGAAAATATTCTTTTCAGACAACCTCCAAAAGACCGTACACTATTGATAATAGAGCACTCCCGAGTGAACAAGACTGTTTACGCAATATTGGCCACGTTGGCATGTTGCGGCATAATTATGGCGTCCGTATTCCTCGCTTTTAACATAAAATATCGAAACCAGCGTTACATAAAGATGTCCAGCCCGCAACTTAACAACCTAATCATTATCGGGTGCATGCTGACCTACACTAGTGTCGTCTTCCTGGGACTCGACTCGGGACTGTCCAGTATAGGTAAGGAACGATATGCACACAGTATATCACGCGCTGATATGATGGTATGGTATTTTTTCAGAGGCTTTTCCGTACATTTGTACCGCGAGAGCCTGGACCCTGATGGCAGGTTTCTCTTTGGCTTTCGGCGCCATGTTCAGCAAAACGTGGCGGGTGCATTCGATTTTTACCGACGTCAAACTTAATAAAAAGGTGATAAAAGACTATCAGCTGTTTATGGTGGTCGGCGTTCTTTTGTTCATCGATCTCGTTATAATGACCACGTGGCAAGTGGCCGACCCTTTCTACAGAGAAACCAAACAAATGGATCCGTATGTAAGTCCTCCCCCCTCCCCCTACGTATTTTAAATCGACTGTTTCTTTTTTATTCTTTTTTTTGTACCTCTAAAGTCCAATATCTTTTATTAAAGCCTCATCCTTCAAGCGAAGACATAGTAATTATACCTGAAAACGAATACTGTGCATCTGAGAGGATGACATTATTCATAGGATCTATTTACGCGTACAAGGGATTGCTCATGGTAATAGAAACTGTCGGTAAATAAAACATTTTCTATAAAACGGTGTTTTCTGTAGATTTTTGGCGCGTTTTTGGCTTGGGAGACCCGCCATGTTTCGATTCCCGCTTTGAACGACAGCCGCCATGTTGGATTATCGGTCTACAACGTTGTCATTATGTGCATATGTGGCGCTGCTGTCGCTTTAGTTCTAGTGGATCATCAGGACGCCATGTTTCTTATTATAGGTACGATTTCAGTAGAAAAACAGTAAAAATTACTTTCAAATTATTAAAAACAAACCTCACCCTTCCTTTTCAACATTTGACAACACGTCAACAATAACAAATTGAAATAACAGTTAACTAAACAAAATCCAATGTTAATTGTTGCATTGTTTTAGTAACAATCGTAGAAACCTTAAGTGGGACTTAACAAAATTCAAAAGATCTCAAAAGTTATAACTAATATAGGGGAAATTACCATCTCTGGATTTGTATGTAAAAATTACATTCCTATTTTTTTGTTATTTTATACTATAATATTTATTATTGACGCAAGGAACCTCAAGAAAANATTATTCAATTTAACGGTCCACAGCGCAAAAATACAAGAAGTGACGATTTCAAATATTCGTTTTAATATATAATATGTGCTAGTTCATTCTAAATACAATGCAGATAATCAATTCACAGCAACATTTCTTGTAACTTATTTACGAAGTTGTTTAGAAATTAGTAATGTGGGATGGGACACCGTGTATATATTTTGTTTTATGTTATGTGAATGATTAATTGTAATATAAGAATAAGTTTCTTAAACTTCAAAAATAAAATTACATTTTTCGTTAGGTATTTTCGTCATGTTTTGTACGACTGCAACGTTATGGCTCGTTTTTGTCCCGAAAATGCTGGAACTGAGACGAAATCCCGGGGGATCCATAGACAAACGTATACGGGCAACGTTGCGGCCCCCTTCGAAAACAAGGAGAAATTCGAGCGCCACAGAAATGGAACACAAGTTACGAGAAGTAAAAGCGATCAATTCGAAACATCGGAAAACTCTTATGGAAAAAGAGGCAGAACTGCAGGTGACTAATACAAAATGACTACATCTACATATGCATATCTCCTAATGTAGTTAACTCTCCGTTAATCCGAAACTTTTTTCTGATAATCCTAGTTTCAGGACAGACGCATGGTGTGTATTACGTAAAAACAAAAGAAAAGTCTGAATTACCCATTAGTGACATTTAAAATGACACCCCGCTGGGCCCATTGGGCTCCCCTACTCTCCACCTCTAATTACCACTGTATTATTATTATTTTTTTTTTTGAGAACCACATAAGTTTTAAGTTTTTGAGATAACCCGCTGTGACAGACAGACACACTGTAATTATGCGACTGTTCTATTTCTTTAGGCGCTTATTCAACAGTTGGGAACCGAAGCCCGAGAAATATTAGGGCAGAGTACCGAAACGTTCACCGATTCCAACAAGTTATCGGTACCCCAGGTCCGAAAAGAAATGCCCAGCGCCACCGAGACAACCGACATCACATCCGTGGGCAGCATAAGCTCCCAAGACTTGATTTCGATACACCAAAGTGACAGTCAAAAGTAAGTCGACAAATTGTTTATTCAATGAAATTATTATTGACCTTTGCACCTACGAATAACACCTGATTGTTACCATTTTGGGACGTACAATATTAACTATTTTTGAATTTATCCTACTCAAGTATACGGACCGACAGACAGCTTAATTACTTACGGGTTAACGTGAAATTCGTCAATTTTTTTTCCGTCTCCCCCAGCATGGCGGGATCGTAAAGCGCGTCCTAGTAAATCACCCCCTCGCCGGTACATTATGTAACGCGTGCATCATTAAAAAGGTTTTTTAGTTTCCAATAATCAATTTTAAATAAATTCTAAAATAGTTAAGTAACGTAATCCCCTTCCACGCACCGTAACGCTCTATTGGGCTACCCTCCCCCCCCAAATTCACGTTACCTACGTAATTTATGGGCATCCTCTTATCGGAATAGCCTTGTTTCAGACGAAAAAAATCGACAATAATAATCGACACAGCAAAGCAAAAGAGCGTGTCGCAGTCGAAACTCAACGAACCCGACAAGGTAATTTTGAACGGCAACCTTACGAAACAAGAAACAGAACAGTCGTACCAATATCAGCAAAACATTTCTCTCGTGCACAAAGAAATTAAATTCGCAACGCCGCAAAAATCACCCGACGTCCAGATCGTTCCTAAAGGATTCCCAACGACCGTGGAATCCGTAGAAATCGACGAAGTAGACATGGAAACAAAACTCGTAACAACTACGCCTGTAAAACACCCCCTTTCAACGACAACGCCATCCAACGACAAAAAATTCCAATCATCGACACCGCATAGCGACAAAAAACAACTACCATCAGTCGTACCAACTACTGAAAAGAAATCTCAATTACCAACGCCTACTAAAGACCGGAAATCGCCGGGCATCGAAAGGAAACGATGTCGTACACCGGAGAGACATTACGGGGACAGAAAACGGTCCAGCTTGAAAGAGAACAAAACTCGCAGCGTTACCAATGAGGAAAGTTTCGACAGCGACGAAATACCGTACGGAAGAAGGGTGAGTATACCTTCTACAAAAACAACACCCAAGAAAAAGATCGAAGGTGGTCAGCACGTTGTGGCTAAAAGTGAGCTATGGGACACCGGGACCCAGCACAGGTGCAACAGACTCCATCAAAAAAGTCCTAGAGTTAGTGTATCATCGCAAGAAGAAGGTAAGCAATAAAACGATAAAATAAACCACTTACTTACACATCTTCTGAATGAAAAGTGCCTGTAATTGTTAAATTCAACGCCTACCTGCATAAAAAAAGAAACATAATATTAGAAACATCTTTTAATTATGTTACTTAAGCGAATAATAAAAAAATATTTCAATGAACCACCTGCTATTAAAAAATACTGACTTCTTTTAAGGTTATGCTTTTGTGGTCCTCAGTTAAATAAAAAATTCATTAATAAATAATCAAAAACCGAAACATTTTGTAAGTTTCATATCAATTATAAATTGTACGCTTTGTAATTATTGCAAATACCACAAAGTCCTCATAATTTAATGAATAATCTTTTTAAAAAGTCGCCATACCAAAATGGAAATGGCATCTTTAAAGAGAAATTTACCTTTTTCCTTTCTGACGTTCGGTTACACATATTCTTCGGAAAAACCTCCATCTAATTGCCGACACACGCACATATCACTCCCGAAATTAATAAATTGTATTAACACTTAAATATTCTACAACACGTTACTAATAAATAATAATAATTAAAGACATTAATGAAAGGACCGGCCTACCGACCGCATGTCAGTCCAATACCAACCGCAACAACACTATTCGCGAACGTGCCCGATCCCAATAAATAGGGCAACAATCGTGCACGATCGTCTATTGCCGGCTTTTTTATGCAATGTTACCAAATAACAATTTTCATCTTTTTATTTTTGCATTAAACAAAAATTAAGTTAATAAGCAATACTTAGCGTAATTATTACACTTATTTGGGCAAACTTCTGCAAAACAATATTGTATTAATTAACGTAAAATATTAACTTTATAATTTTTATTACATATTTTAAAACATTTTACATTTACCACCACTACTACACAAGTAAACAATATTTGTTAATGTTAAACTACTCTGGCAAAACAATATTTTGTTAAATTTAAAAACTTTCGAATAAGTATTTTCCTATTACATATTATGATAATAAATAAAATGCCTTTTTCATAACAAATTTCAACTCGTATTTTATGCTTCTATTACAACCAGTGGCGTTACCAACATTTTTCCCTGGCATTAATATAAATATGTAACAATAGGCTATGTAAACAATAAAATTTCAGATTTTAAATGCTTTGGTATTGTTTTATATTTGCTTGAAAATGTAATTTTAGATGAAAGTGTGATGCATCGATCAGCATCTGAGAGAAATCGTCACTCTCCGAAATGCGAAAGAAGCCCTAGTAAAAAAGAATCTCCAACAGGTACAATATGCACCCAACACAGTGGAAAAACGACTGGATATTATCAATCAACCCCAAACGTTGCAACTCTCAAATCAACCGCCCTTTCTCCGAAGCATACGAAAGAAAAATCAATGTGCAACGCCGCCTCCGAGTCCGAACTTTTAGATCGCGAGATTTTACCGATTTTTCAGAAATTATTGACAGAAAGGAACAGGAGTCAACACAACATTAACTACAGCTTCGGCAGGTCTTGTCCAAATATTTCTATTAAATGTGACATCGTTGAATATTTATAAAAAACAACTTAATTATTTCTTTGTAGGAAAAAAATAGTTTTCAATTACGTTGGTGGCGTAACTAGTAGCATTGAATTTTATTTTCGGTTAATGAATTGTCTTATAATATGTTATTTATTATGAGCAATTTCGCAGACGCTTTTGTAACAAGTGACCGCAAGTGGACATAACTCGTAGTTACGCCACTGGTCAAAAAGTTTTTACTATTACTTTTCATTAAAAAAAGTAAAACGTACAGGGTGATTTCTTCTTTATAACACTAAATAATTCTTTTACTTCAAAATTTTATCTTCAGCAAAATTTTCAAAAATAAGACAAATTAATATTTAACGACTTTTAAGGCTGATGCTTTTTGAAGGGAGAAATTAACCGAAAAAATTAGTTGTGAATGATCACGCCCATTATCATTAATACGCATATTTAATTTAGAAACGCAAGTATTAATGCTGACCAGTGAAAACTTAAGTATCTAAAGTATTAGATAACACGTATACTTAATTAATTAAGTAAAAAATGGTTGTGTTATAATAAACAAAGAAGAATCTAGTCAATGTTGCCACATTCTAAATTTTACTTGTGTATTTATATTCTGTTAAATAAGTACTATTTCCAATAAATGTTTCGAAATTTCTAATATTTTTCGTCTTTTTTTATAGCGTTTCATTAGTTTTTAATTTAAATACAATACATTTACTTTTAATTATTTTTTAATACTAACAAACGCAATAATGCCCAATACCATAGAAGAAACAAACGAATTTAACAATGTACATGATCGGCCGGCTCTTAAGGCCTTTTTTTAAAAATTTAGCCGTTTGATTGCTATAACGCTAATCAAACGTATTCTTTTTTCTTGCTTAAGCAAAAATTAAACCCATTTTCATTATTTAATACATTAATATTTGTTCATAAGTATATTACAAATGCGATTAAAGTTGAATTGATATTTTTAAATTGTGATTTCATTATTGCCCGGGTCCGCTTAAAGACTTATCCATGAATTTTCTTTTAGCAAAACATAACCACCATTTACTCGGTTTACCATCTTCTCCAAAAACTTTTTCACATACTCTCAGCCCCGTTTCTTGTCTCACTTGTGTCAAATACCCTCTTAAAAAGTCTGAAATATTATTGTTCTTTATATCCGACGTAGAATTAACTTTTTAAATAAACTGTACCATATACTTCAAACATTGTTACATTGACCCACATAAATTTTAAAAAAATTGTAAAGGCAAATCAAAATTTATGTGTGAAAGCTTACCTGCTTCTTTTTGTGACTGGGGCTTCCCATAAACGGAATTCAAAGGAAATCCTGGGTCCCCTGGAATATCAAAACGGGAAATTGCTAAACTGTACATTTCATTTTGACCTTGGCTTTTGTTGGAACACCTTTGAAGTTTTTTCAAACATTCTGTTATGTACAAGGTTATATAAATTAATAGCCTGTCTGCTTCGGACTGAAAATAACAAAATAAAATACTACAATTTGTCACAATCTTAACACTAATAAGTTAAAACAAACTACTTACCTTAATTTCATAAGTACGGAAGAAAACATTTGCCCTAAAATAGTAGAGAGCCTCATCTATAATATCTGTGTCTTGCGAAACGTCTAAAGGCGCTGGGCCTGTAAATTGCGTTTTAATAGGTAAAATAGCAGTATTTCCTATTATTTCTAGAGGTTTTAAGAAACTGGAATGAAAAGCCTAAAATATTAACAAAAAACATAGCCTATATTATAGGAAAACAAGCAATTTATTGTTTACTACTTACTGGCATAATTACTATAAAACAATAAAACTACTATCACCACACCTTTACTTTATCAAATTCAACTTCTCACAAGGAATGAAAACGTTTATTAAATATATTTTAATATATTNTAATTTGTATGAATTTATGATTTATCATCACTTGCACCACCCGCTAAATGTGACAAGTATCATACCAGTGTAAACATAAAACAGACGGTAATAATTCTAATTAAATAATTGTTAAGTCAAAATTATTACATTTGTTTCCTGATTTCTTTTGTAAAATATTTCACTAAAAATTAACTACATTTAAATTTTTTCAACAAATTGCTGGTTTTTTTTTTGATTAAAGGTAAACAATGAGGTAGTGGAGATACTTTCTCATGTCATTTAAAATCTATGTATCTATGTTTAAAACCATAGATAAGCTTAAAACATTGAATTTATAAAATTGTTGTTGACAAATTGATAAGGTTAAGTTTTAAAGGTTAATTGATCAGTTTTTAAAATTGTTAATATGTTTTTAACTTTGAAATCCAATTAATATTAATAATATACAAAAATGCGTTATGCACAACTTGTTATTGGACCAGCGGGAAGTGGGAAGGTAAATAAACTACATTTCATCATCATAAGGTCACGTACCTCCACTCTTCCCTATCCTGAGCTAAACTTCGCATTTCCCTAAAACTAGAACAGCCCACATCCTTAACTATTTGCGAAGAGTAATCTAATCTAGGTCTACCTCTGCCCCTCCTAACTCCTGTTTCTACCTCTAATATGTCTCTGACTACATTTATCCCACAGAAATTACATCTTTCTCCTTCGTACTTGATTGGTCCTGTTGAAATTACTTTTTTCTGTTTTGAAACAGTCCACATACTGTAGTGCTATGGTCCAGCATGGTATTGATACTAAAAGGCACATTGACGTCGTAAATTTAGATCCAGCTGCAGAATATTTTGATTACAACCCCTTGGTGGACGTTCGTGAGCTAATACAGGTCGAGGATACAATGGAAGATGAAGAACTACATTTTGGGCCTAACGGAGGACTGATCTTCTGTATTGAATATTTATTAGAAAATTCCGATTGGCTTCAAAATAAATTAGGTAAGTAGTTAGTTAGTAGGCAGTTGTTATTTATTTTGTATTATATATGTATAATGGTCTATTAACTTCTGGTAATTGTTCAGGTGACCAAGAAGATGACTATATATTGTTTGATTGTCCAGGGCAAATTGAATTGTACACTCATCTTACAGCAATCAGAAAGTTGATAAATCTCTTACAAAACTGGAATTTTAATGTGTGCAGTGTTTTTTTAGTGGACGTTCAGTTTATGACAGACGGTGCTAAATTCTTATCAGGAACAATGGCTGCACTAAGTGTAATGGTTAATCTCGAAATTCCGCATGTAAACTTGCTATCAAAAATGGATTTGCTTAGTAAAAGTGCCAAGAAACAATTAGACCGATTTCTAGAACCTGATTCCCATGCAATTTTGGGCGATATTGAACTCAGAACAACCAGATTCAATGAAAAACATCAAAGATTAACGGAAGCAATTGGAAGGCTTGTTGAAGACTATTCTTTAGTGCGTTTTATTCCTTTGAATCTTAAGGACAATGAAAATGTGGCAGACGTACTTCTAACCATTGATAATGTGATACAGTTTGGTGAAGATCAAGATGTAAAAGTTAAGGAGTTTGAAGCTTTAGACCCAGAAGACGATGATGGTGGTTGAAACAAAAAATTGGACATTTTTGCTTTATAATTTAATAAATTAAGTAGTACTTGTTGGTTCTTTTACTGATCTTTAATTAATAATAAAAGCATATTTTTAATTTTGTTGTATTATTTTTAAAGTTATTGAAACAAGAATGTAGAAAATAGTACAATTAAATGTAAAAAAAGCTTTGAGAATTACATGCTCTTCTTCCTTTTGGCTTCTGCTTCTTTTGCTCTTTTTAGTTGCAATTCTTTTTGTTGTTGAAGCACTTTTCGAAAATTCAGTTCCTCTTCTTCCTTTGCTTCTAAATCTATAAAAATTGCATTTTTAGATTTAATAGTTTTATCTTTACTTCAATTATTTCCAAAAACCAAAGAATAGAAAGAAAAACAGCTCAAAAAATTAGATACCATTACAGGTAAAATAAACTTACCATGTGGATTTACTTCTTCGCCTTCTGAATCTGAACTGCTTTCGTTTGCAGGATGTCGAAGATATACATCAGAAATTTCTCTGCCAGCAGATAACTCCATTATGAGCGGATCTTTTTTCTGTTCAACTTTCTCACTTTCCACTTTTTTCTTCATCTCTGCCTCCTTACGTATTCTTTCCCATTCTACTCGATAGTCCCTGAAACGCAACAAAAACAACAAATGGTTTAATGTCAGTCATAAAAAGCAAATACTAACTTTTCATATTCTTCTTTGGCATCATTTACCAGCTTGAATAATTCTTCGATTCCGTCCCCTGTGGCAGCTGATACTCCACAAACTTTCAAATTTCTATAAAACTCGTCAAGGGTAAGAGCCATGGATCTTGTCAAATTGCTTATATAGCTCTCATCAGCTTCTAAAGCTTCGTGAAACGCTTCAAAATCATTCATCCAGTCAATTGCATAACTATGTTCAACTATATCTATTTTATTCATTACCACAATAAACGGAAGGCGAGTTTTGTACAGAATAGAGCAAGCATACAACATGTTTGACATAAATGTAACAGGAGAGGTGCTACGAACAGTATCAACTACATAAAGAATTACTGTAGGAAATGTAGAAGCTAACGTTTCAGTGATAATGGCACCTAAAACCAGTTTAAGTTTTTGAGAAATTAATAGCCTTTTTATCATCAATAAGTGATAATCTTACCTGATACTGACCATGTAAACACTTCTATTTGTCCTGGAGTATCTAAGACGCAGTATTCTAAATCACATTTACTTATGTACTTAAGTACATCTGGGAACTTTGTTGAAAATAAATTTAGTGATGTAACAATTGCTCCATTAGGTCCTAATTTGTATTGTTTCATGACATCTTTGTAATTTACTGTGTCTCTTATATCTGCAAATGTATTACTAACTGCACAAAATGTTTCTAAAAAAAGGATGAGACAAACAATAACTACCTATATTAGCAAAATAAGGTAACTGTAGACATGCTGGATCTAAATTAACAATGTAAGGCTTTTTAGGAGAAGTACTTAATCTTTGCACCAAAGATGTTTTTCCAGATCCTGCCATTCCAAGTACAATAATACAGACAGGATCTCCTTGATTTTTTCCTTCTTCAGATGGTTTACCTTCAGCCATTTTAAAACTTAAAACATACGTTTTCTTATTTTTTACATTAAAAACAAAAGTTATTTTTCATTTTATTTGTATCATGATTTGTATAATAATGAAAGGTTATGTTTCTATCTTGCCTATGGTTTCTATTCTTAAGGTTATGAATCATAGAAATACACGAATAGCTGCCAATAGAATATTTATTCACTGAGAATACATACTCCAGTAACAGTAATTGAAAGTATCCAATGTTATTAGGAGACTAAAAATAAACGTCTAAAGAAGATTAGATGATAAAAGCATATGGTAGTTAATTTAATTAGACTTTAACAACCGTGGAAATGACGAGCAGTTGCCTTAAATTTTTAAGCAAGTCAGCGTGAGTATAATGAACGTAACTAAAATATTTGCTTTTACTATTCCCAATTTTAGATCTATAGAATTCATGCGCAAAAGTCTGCATGAATATCTGCGCAGTGTAGTTTTGTTTTTATTTACTTTTTATAAATTTATAAACTCTAGTTTTTAAAGTAAAAATAACTAATTAATTTGCAACAAAAAAGTATTTTTCAATTTCAGTTTCTAATTTCTTTTTGAAGCTGCATGTAATTTTGTGTAAAAAATTTTAGTAACATAACACTTGCTGAACTTTGTACCATTTCAAGTGCCATCTTACTTAAGTAATAAGCGAACAAATTAGAATAAGACCAAAAATACCGAAACGATATTCAAAGAAGATTTTAATTAATTAAGTCTGAAAATGTATTCAAGAACTATGTTAAAAGTACGTACATTGTCTAATAACCTAAAAATGTATGGTAGTACTTCTTCAAATTTTGTTAATGTTTCTGTAAATGATAAAAGCGGAGTTGCTATTGTTACTATGCAACGGGAACCGGTTAATAGTTTAAATCTAGAATTAATTACTCAGTTGAAAACTGCCTTATCAGATTTAGAAAGGAACAAGTGTCGTGGAATGATTTTGACTTCAGTAAGTAACTCATTGTTATTATTATTATTATTATATTATTTGATGTTACTACAATAAGATATGTTTAGTAAATTGTGTTTCTAAATCAGGCGTCAAAATCTGTATTTTCTGCTGGCTTAGATATCATGGAAATGTACAAACCAAATCAAGAGCGTGTCAGAAACTTCTGGTTAAGTTTACAAGACCTTTGGATGACTTTGTATGGCTGCTCATATCCTTCAGTTGCTGCTATAAATGTAAATCTATTTTTAAGAAATTATTAGCGACAGTTTACTAATAATAAAGTATTATTTTAGGGACATTCGCCTGCAGGTGGCTGTCTTTTATCTATGAGTTGTGAATACAGAATTATGTTACCTAATTTCACAATAGGCCTTAACGAGACCAAATTAGGTATAATTGCACCTTCATGGTTTGTAGCAACGATGAAAAACACCATTGGCTTTCGGAAAGCTGAAATGGCATTGACATTAGGATTTTTATTTACTACAGAGGAGGCTTTAAAAGTGGGTCTTATAGATGAAGTGGCATCAAGTAAAGAGGACGCTATCGCAAAAGCTGACAAGTTTATCGGACAATTTGCAAAAATACCACCCCAGCCAAGAACAATTTCAAAATTAATGCTAAGGAGTAAAGATATAGAGGTGAGATGTAATTTTAAGTAACATATAACGTACGTTTATTTACTAATAGCAGATAAAATTGCCAAATGTTTATTTTATTAAATTTTTAGACGCTAAGAAAGACTAAAGAGCAAGACTTGCAAGCGTTCTTACAAGTGGTTAACGATCCAAAAACACAGAAGGGCTTAGAATTATATTTGGAGTCATTGAAACAGAGAAAGGCTTGATTTAATGATATTTTTTTAATAGTATTTTTTAAAGGGTACCTCATTGAAAAGAACGTTTGCAGGATGTCGAAGATA